AGAATGACGGTAATGCTAAACTTCAGAAAGAAATGGGTAGAAAGTTATAAACGATATATAATGTCAGATATAATGTAGATATAAACAATATGACAACATTGATAGGTATGATTTCTCTCTCTCTCTCTCTCTCTCTCTCTCTCTCTCTCTCTCTATATATATATATATATATATATATATATATATATATATATATATATATATATATATATATATAACTTTCTCTCTCTCTCTCTCTCTCTCTCTCTCTTTGTTTCTTTCTTTCTACCTCTCTCCCTCCCTACTCCCTCCCTACCCCCCCTCACTCTCTCTCATTTTCTTGCTCCAAACTTTGAACTTTTGATTTTTAAAACCTACCTCTGTATACTAAAAAATAATTACTTTAATAGTCTAATTAACCAATTTATCTAATAGATTATCATTATATTGATTTTATAACTGGCGCAATTTTCACATGTGTAGGATTATATAATCATTATTGTTTCCTATTGCTTTACATATCGGCTTTATGATGATGTTAACTATAATGATGTATAACCATCGTCCCCATGATCACGTTTATTAGTATCATTATTATCATTAATATTATCGGTATTGTTGTCATCTACAGTTATCTCCATTATCACCCTTATTATCATCAATATCATTATCATTATCATAATTACTATCATAATGATAATACCATTATTACTATTACTATGACTATCACTATTATCATCATCATTATTATTATCATTATCATCCCCGCTGTCGTTGTCACTGTCATTATACTTAGTATATTCAGAAGTATTATTAACATATAAAAAAATAACTAAACATGGGTATATTCTTCATCCCACAAAATTAGCCAACAAATTAAATGCTCTTTGTTGCATCATTGCAGTAGCAACAGCAATAATGATAGTAATAAATCATATAGCGATTTATTATCTCTTATCACTGATAACGATAATAATGCGCACAATATTAATGTATTAATAAATTCTCTCCTTAACACCCTTCGAATATTTCTGATTCAAATATATTTTCTTAGACACATTTCCCCTATCAACATCTAACGATACAATAAGGAAATTTTCCTTTAAAAAAAAAAAGATGAAGAAGAGAGTGAGATATGGTAATTCAGAGTCGATCAAACAAAGTGAAATTTAATAGCACCATTTCACGTGAAATATCTGTGCCTGAGTTGATTTATTGGCGAAACGGGGAGGCAGTGGGGGAGAGGGGGTGGTGGGTGGGGGGAGACGGGGGAAAGAGGGTGGTAGTGGGGGAGATGGGGTAGAGAGGGGGGGGAGAGGGGGGAGATGGGGAAGAGGGGGAGACGGGGTGGTAGTGGGGGAGAGGGTGGGGGGGGAGACGGAGAGGTAGCGGTGGGGACGAGGGAGAAGAGGGGGGGAGGGGGGGAGGCAGTGAGTGAGAGGGGGGGGTGGAGAGGGGGGAGGGGGGGGGGAGACTGGGAGGTAGTGGGGGAGAGGGGGTGGTGGGTAAGGGAGATGAGAAGAAGGAGGTGGTGGGGGAAGGGGAGAGGGGGGGGAGACGGGGAGGTAGAGGTGGGGGAGAGGGGGGGAGGGAGGGGGGGATGAGAAGAAGGAGGTGGTGGGAAGGGCGAGGGGGGGATGAGAAGAAGGAGGTGGTGGGGGAAGGGGTGAGAGGGGGGGAGGGGGAGGGGGAGGTATGGAAAAGGGTGGAGGAAGAAGGATGGAGATAGGAAAGAGGGTGGAGGGAAGGAAGGGAGGGAGGGGGGGGGAGATATAGGGAAGAGGGGTGTGCGGAGGTAGAAAGGAAGGGGAAGGGGGAGGGTAAAGAACAGGGGCAGGGTAAGGGTGGGAATAAATTAAAGGGGAAAGGTAGGGGGAGGGGAAGGTGAGGGGGGGGAGAGGAAAGGTAGGGGGGGAGGAAAAGTGGGGGGAGGGGAAAGGTAGGGTGGGGAGGGGAGGGGAAAGGTGGGAGGGGAGAGAGAAAAGGTAGGGGAGGGAGAGGAAAGGTAGGAAGGGGAGAGGAAAGGTAGGGGAGGGAGGGGGAAGGTAGGGAGGGAGAGGAAAGGTAGGGGGGAGAAAAGGTGGGGGGAGAGGAAAGATAGGGGAGAGAGAGAGAAAAGGTAAGGGGGGGGGAGAAAAGGAAACAGGAGAAGAGGAGGTAGATGAGGAAGATAAGTGTGGTGGAGGAAAAGCAGAGGAGCGTGGTGGGGGTGGAGGGGGTGGAAGGGAGGGAAGGGGGGGAAGGGGGGGGGGGGAGGTAAGAGGGGAATGAGTGAGCGAGTTTTCCGGCTGAGTGGAGCGAAGGGGGAGAGACGGGAAGCGACGGAGTTTTATTTCCTTCTTCCCTCTTCTTGTCTGTTCCTCTCGCTTTGTTTGTTTGTTTGTCTGTTGTGTTCCTTATTTTTTTGCCTCTTTTTTTTATCTTCTATCTTCTACTGTTTTGCCTTTCATTTATTCTTTCTTTCTTTCTCTCTCTTTCTCTCTCTTTCTCTCACTTACTCTTTCTCTCTCTCTCTCTCTCTCTATCTCTCTCTCTCTCTCTCTCTCTCTCTCTCTCTCTCTCTCTCTCTCTCTCTCTCTATATATATATATATATATATATATATATATATATATATATA